CCAGGGGAGTAAACAGTTCTGTCTCACAGGTGTTCCAGGCACCACCGGGGTATGAAAACAAAAACAAAAACAAAAACTTCCACAGGTATCTTGGTGTCTGCTCAAATGGCTGCCCAGTTTTGTGTTGGAATCCTAGGGCCCTGGTGGTATAGGCACCAGAAGGAATCTCCTGGTCTGCAGAAGGTCTCCTGGTCTCCTGAAGACCATGGGAAAAGTGCAGTATCTGGGCCAGAGTGCATGATAGTCCCTAATGGCTTCCCTCAGCTAGAAGAGGGAGTTCTCCAACCCATTGTGCTTCCTGGGTGAGGCAACGCCCCATCCTTCTTCAACTCGCCCTCTTCAGGCAGCACCCACTGTCCAGCTAGTCCTAGTGAGATGAACCAGGTACCTGAGTTGGAAATGCAGAAATCACCTGCCTTCTGCATCAGTCTTGCTGGGAGCTGCAGACTGGAGCTGTTCCTGTTTGGTCATCGTGTCCTCCCTAGAAGATGCTCCCTCTGTCAGAGTGCTTAAGTTGGTACATAAGTCTTGCCCTGCCCTCAGACTAGGAAACAAGCAAAAATCACACACACACACACACACACACACACACACACGTTTTACATATATATTATATATACATTATATATGTATATATTTAATCTTCTGTTGGTTCTCTTTCTCCAAAGAACCCTGTCAAATACAGATGGAAACTGATATATGAGTCTCTCTCTACAGTGTTGTAATGACTCTCCAGGGGTTTGACATAACTTTGTTTTTTTTTTCTTTTGAGACTGTCACACTCTGTCACCCAGGCTGGAGTGCAGTGGCACGATCTCGGCTCACTGCAACCTTCACATTCCAGGTTCAAGCCATTCTCCTGCCTCAGCCTCCTGAGTAGCTGGGATTACAGGCACCTGCCACCACGCCTGGCTAATTTTTTGTATTTTTAGTAGAGACATGGTTTCACTGTGTTAGCCAGGATGGTCTCAATCTCCTGACCTCATGATCCACCCACCTCGGTCTCCCAAAGTGCTGGGATTACAGGCGTGAGCCACCGTGCCTGGCTGACATAACTTATTTTAACAGAAATTCTGAGAGGGTAGGAATTGTCTACCCTGGTTTACAGATGAGAAAACCAAGATCACAGATTTGTGAATGTAAAAATCAAGATTTCAGATCTCAACTCAACTGTAAGCCCTATGTTTTAGCCGGGCACAGTGGCTCATGCCCGTAATCCTAGCACTTTGGGAGGCCAAGGTGGGAGGATTGCTTGAGCCTAGGAGTTTGAGACCAACCTGGGCAACATGGCGAGACCCTGTCTCTTAAAAAACAAACAAACGAACAAACAAACAAACAAACAAAAAGACCTATGTTTTTGCCATGGTGGTTTTCAAACTGTGTTTCAGGGATCTTTGATGTTCCATAGAGAAAGCTCTGGGTCTTCTACCTCCACATCAGTCAGAGAAATCTCCACTGCAGGGAACTTTGTAAAGGGTTTTTCCATAAGAATTATTCTGAAAATAAAGTGGAAAGTGGATTCCTGCAGCTCAAAAAGGAAAAATAATTTAGGAAATCATTCTCTTATATCAAGCACCCTTCTCAAGATGTGACTGTGTTCCTTACCCATTTTTCTATGGAGACAGACTTATCACTAAATAGACCATCTTAATGCTGCTAGTATGCATGTTCTCGGAGAACATGCTTAAAATAGAAGAAATGCTAGGTATCTGGCAGGAAAAATAATAGCCACAATATACTGAGCATCTATCATGTGTCATGGTCTGTTCTAGGTGTCTGACAAACATAATCTCATTTAATCCCAATAACAGCCCTCCCCAAAGTAAGCAAGAGTATTCCCATTTCATATTTGTAAGAACTTAAGGGAACTTGACCACAGTAATAGTTGCAGCCAGGAGCTGATCCAGGTTTATTTGCCCCCAGAGCTCATTTTCTACACCATAACAACTCTTGTTACTTACAGAGGAGATTCATATAGAGGACTTATAACTCACGGGGGCTACAGCATGCCCAGTGATGAGCGCATAAACCGCCTCCACTTACAGGTGAAGACCAGGCAGTATTTTATTTTCTATAATGCCTGTATTCATCATTTCATTTGGTTGTGCCTGTGAGAGGGCACAGCACAATACAAGCACATAGTGGGACGACAATAAAATTTTTGAGGAGGCACAGTTTAGTTCAGAGCAGTAGGTGATCCTGACCTTTCAGAGAGTAGAACATTGAAAGTAGAAAATTCTGAGCTGTTACACCATCTCCAGAGTCGTTGGTGGCTACCCATCCTAAGTCATTAGTCCTCTTTGTTTACTGCTGTCTGGCAGGTCAGGTAGGCTCCTTCAGCTACCTAGAGATCTCTGTATCCCATGGCTCATCTCTCACGTTATTTGCTGTTCCTTTCCTGTGTTTTTCTGGTTTAAACTTTGGTTGCTGGACTCATTAAGTACATAAATTGCCTAAAGGCATAACCATATTCAATGTGCCACAAATTATGGTAAATTTTAAATATGTATTCTTTGGGAAAGCTATCTTTTAAAAATTATAGCATCAAAATGCATGACATTCTTACTCTAGGAAAGGACGAAGAAAATGAAGAGGGTTTAATATTTAAGAGTTGAGATGTTTCTTCTACTTTGTACTGAAGCATCTCAGGTGGCATAAGGGTGAGGATAAAGGAATGTTTGCCTTGAGTTTTGAATGCATCAGCATGTCATGTGTGAATTTGAAAAAATATTCACCAGTACAGATGGTGGGTGATGGGAGAAGGTACTCTGGGAAAAAATACATATTATTCTCCATATCCTTGTGCGGTGCTACTAAGCTGACATGATTCTTGATTACATCTTTTGTTCATACCACTGGACAGGAGAAATTGTAAAAGTTACGCTAAAATTTTAGTATCCATTTTTCTAGTAGTATTCCCCATTCTTTCCAACTCATCAGCTTGGGATTGTTATTTTTGTTTTATTAACAGTAAACATAAGAAAGGTAAATTAGTAGTTTGATTAATTCAGAATGATCAGTACTCTGTCGTGTATTTTTCTAATACTTGTTCCCTTTGACTCAGCTACCAAACAGCAGCAAAGGCTCAAATCCATAATAAAGCAAATCTCTAAAGGATCCAAGACCAGACAGGAGGTGGAACTTGTTACTAGGAAGCAATTTCAGGGCTGTTACCTCAGAGGAAGATGCCTAAGATATGTAGGTTTTTTTTTTTTTTCAGTATTTTTTAGATTGATGTTTTGTATGTGGTGATTTATTTGGATTAAGGCTTCCATTTTAGAGCCTGGATTATCAGTAACATAGGAAGATAGAAGAGAAACCAGTACAAAAGATCAAAGTATAAGATTTGAATGAGGTAAGAAAAAAATGGATAATTTTCAGTTACATTTTCTAATACAGGTAAGACAGACACCAGGAGGATGCTCAAGAATGACTGAAAATAGGCAAAAGGAGAAGGCACACATCCAGGAATATGCATCCTATGATTGTGAACAGCAGTTACAGAAAACCTTGCCAGGAGTAGTCAGTAAGGAGCCCATTACAAATTTATTTAGGATAAACTAGTGTGTTGAAATTATAAGGATGATTTAAAGGTATTGCCTTACCAACGAATAAATGTGAAAATTTGGAACAATCCAATAATAGTATAAACTGTCACTTACGGAGCATTTTCTATGAGCGAGGAGCCCACATATGTCCTGGCATCATTATCTTTATTTTTAATATGAGGAACTAAGGCTTAGAAAAGTGAGATAACTAAGATAGGATCCCACTGTTGGAAACCAGTAGAACAGGACTGGGAGGGCTGTTTCTGCATACCACTCTGCATTTCCCAAGTTACAGAGTATAGATGTGCCAATTTCAGCTGCTTCCTGACTGGCCAAACCAAATGTGCAATTAGTTCATTTGACAGGTGTGCTTTTATGATGAAGAGGGGTCAGCTGGGCACGGTGGCTCATGCCTGTAATCCGAGCAGTTTGGGAGGCCAAGGTGGGTGGATCACTTGAGCCCAGGAGTTTTAGACCAGGCTGGGCAACACAGCAAAACCCCATTACCACATTATACACACACACACACACACACACACACACACACACATATGCCTTGAAAGTTGAAAGTGAGGTATTACCATTCGGGAAGTTGTTTTCTTCTTGTAGTTCTAATTTAGGGATTTCATGTTATCATTTTAAAATAAAGTATAACTGTGTGTGTGTGTGTGTGTGTGTGTGTCTGTGTCTGTGTGTGTAATTTTTTAAAAATGTAAAAAATAAACAATGGCGAGGAGTCCACTGCTTGATGAGAGTGTGATCATCAAAGAAATTGGCTGTTTTTGTTGTGTTCCTAAATCGCATTTTGATCTCAGTTTTATCGCCTAATAGGTTTTTGTACATAAGAGAAAATTCTCTTTGGCAAAGCTGAATAGGGTAGATATTAAAAGTAAGGGATTTAAGTTAGACTTGAGTTAGAATCCCAGTGCTGACTGTGTGAACTTGGACAAATTATATGACACATCTGAGCCTCACATGTTTCCTCTGTAAAAATAATGTAATCATAGTTCCAATCTCATAGGGGTCCTGGAAAAACAAAATGAAGTGATGCATATAACGTACTTACCATAGTGTCTGACATGTGGTCAGTCCTCAGTATAAAGTAGTTGTTATCATTATTACTCCAATTTTTTTTTTTATTTTCAAACAATTTGGAAAGATTTCAATAATGCCTTATATTTGATAGGTGATTAAATTTTATAAAATACTTTAAAAATCACATTTATTCCTACTCTGATGGCTATAATGTAGGTAGAACAAGTGTTATTACATTTTACCATTTTGTAAATTAAGACTTGGAGAGAAAAACATATCTTATGAGTTCTAAACTAGTTTTCCTAGGTTCATAAATCCTCTAGATGATTTTATTGTTGAGTTAGAAAGTTATTATCAGAATGTGTTGCAAACACTGCTATTATATATAAAATTAATTATGTAAAATGCTTTTTACAGATCTGGAAAATGAACCAAGAAAAAAATGAAATATTTGAAAGTAAGTGGTCAAAAGAGAGAGAGAGAAGCAGTTGGCATTTGGTCTTGACACTGCAGAGAAGGCCTTGAAAGTTGAAAGCGAGGTATTACCATTCAGGAAGTTGTTTTCTTCTTGTTGTAGTTCTAATTTAGGGATTTCATGTTATCATTTTAAAATAAAGTATAACTGTATATCTCAGCTTGGGCTGCCATAACCAGATACCACAGATTAGGTGGCTCAAACAACAGAACATTATTTTCTCACAGGAGGATGGGAAGTCCAAGATCAAGGTGCCAGCCAAGTCAGTTCCTGGTGAGGGTTCTCTTCCTGGCTTGCAGATGGCCACCTTCTTGCTGTGTCCTCACATGACAAAGCGAGCAAGCTCTGGTGTCTCTTCCTCTTCCTATAAAGGCACTAACCCTATTGCATTAAGGCCCCACCCTTATATCCTCATTTGACCTTTATCACTTCCGTATCAACCATATCTATCTCCAAATACATTCATATTGGGGATTGGGCTTCAACAATATGAATAGGGAGGGAGAGCACAATCCAGTCTATAGCACTATAGAATATGTGTTTCTATAATAATAATGGGGTACCTCTGTTATTTCTCCAAGCTGAGTGTCAGCACTAATCAAAGCGTACTTAATTAGCAGATGTTTGATTGTTATAGTGTTCATAGAGTCACAGACTTATCTCTTGTTTTAACCTCTTGTCCTGCCATCATGGAAAGATCTATCACGAGATATAATCAGTCTGTATTTTGAAGAGTGACCTAAATGTGAGTTCATGGAAGTCTAAATCAGTAATTTCGAGGACAGTGACACTCAATCAGTTTGTAGTTTGCAGTGCCCCTAATCTCATCCTAATGACCTACAGTAATTTTCAGTGAAATGAGATAGGAAATCGATATCATTTACCCTCTTCCTGTGGTTTGGGAGGCCACCGCCTACCTTCTTGCCTTTTTGTTTAAGTCTTTTTAATCAGCTTTTACCTCCCACATTGACCTCAAGGCTTTGGGAAAATACCAAGTAGCCCCTCTCCAAAGTAAATTTTATATAGCCTATTCCCTTCACTGAGCACCACAGACTGACTCTCAACCCAAATTCTTTCACCAACCAATCAGTGAACATCCTGTGTCATCAATGTAAAACTCTGATAAAAATTTGCATTTAGCCAAAGTATTTTCTCTCATGGATATATATACATACATATATATTGTATGTATGTGTATAAATATGTATGTGTGTATATATATAGTATGTGTGTGTGTATATACATATAAATCAAGCTGGGCATGGTGGCTCACACCTGTAATCCCAGTACTTTGGGAGGCTGAGGCAAGGGGATCACTAGGAGTTTGAGACTAGCCTGAGCAACATAGTGGGACATTGTCTCTACACACAAAAAATTAAAATGTTAGCCAGATGTGGTGTTGTATGCCTGTGATCCCAGCTACTCAGGAGGCCCAGAGGTGGGAGGATTGTTTTAGCCCAGGAGGTCAAGGCTGCAGTGAGCTGTGATTACATCACTGCACCCCAACCTGGGTGACAGAGTGAGACCCTGTCTCAAAACAGAAAAAAAAGAGAAAGAGAAAAAACATGAGAGGATTAAAGAAAACCCTGGTACAAACAGACGGAGAAACATTGCATGTCATGGTTGGGAAGAATCAATATCGTGAAAATGACCATACTGCCCAAAGTAATTTATAGATTCAACACTATCCCCATCAAGCTACCAGTGACTTTCTTCACAGAACTGGAAAAAACCACCTTAAACTTCATGTGGATGCCAAAGAGAGCCCACATAGCCAAGTCAATTCTAAGCAAAAAGAACAAAGCTGGAGGCATCATGCTACCTGTCTTCAAACTATATTACAAGCCTACAGTAATCAAAACAGCATGGTACTGGCACCAAGATAGAGATGTAGACCAATGGAGCAGAACAGAGGCCTCAAAGGCAATGCCACACATCTACAACCATCTGATCTTTGACAAACCTCACAAAAACAAGCAACAGGGAAAGGATTCCCTGTTTAATAAATGGTGTTGGGGAAACTGGCTAGCCCTGTGCAGAAAGCAGAAACTGGACCCCTTCCTGACACCTTACACTAAAATTAACTCCAGATGGATTAAAGACTTAAACATAAGACCTAACACCATAAAAACTCTAGAAAAAAACCTAGGCAAAACCATTCAGGACATAGGCATAGGCAAAGACTTCATGACTAAAACACCAAAAGCATTGGCAACAAAAGCCAAAATAAACAAATGGGACCTAATTAAACTCCAGAGCTTCTGGACAGCAAAAGAAACAATCATAAGAGTGAATTGGCAACCAACAGAATGGGAAAAAGTTTTTGCAATCTACCCATCTGACAAATGGCTAATATCCAGAATCTACAAAGAACTAAAACAGATTTACAAGAAAAAAACAAACAAGCCCATTCAAAAGTGGGCAAAGAATATGAACAGACACTTTTCAAACGAAGACATATAGGAGGCCAACAAACATATAAAAAAATGCTCATCATCACTGGTCATTAGAGAAATGCAAATCAAAACTACATCGAGATATCATCTCACACCAGTTAGAATGATGATCATTAAAAAAATCTGGAGACAACAGATGCTAGAGAGGATGTGGAGAAATAGAAACACTTTTACACTGTTGGTGGGAGTGTAAATTAGTTCAACCATTGTGGAAGACAGTGTGGCGATTCCTCAAGGACCTAGAAATAGAAATTCCATTTGACCCAGCAATCCCATTACTGGGTATATATCCAAAGGACTATAAATCGTTCTACTATAAGGACACGTGCACACGAATGTTCATTGCAGCACTGTTTACAATAGCAAAGACCTGGAATCAACCCAAATGCCCATCGATGATAGATGGACAGGGAAAATGTGGCACATATACACCATGGAATATTATATAGCAATCAAAAACGATGAGTTCATGTCCTTTGTAGGGACATGGATGAACCTGGAGAGCATCATTCTCAGCAAACTGACACAAGAACAGAAAATGAAATACCACATGTTCTCACTCATAGGTGGGTGTTGAACAATGAGAACACATGGACACAGAGAGGGGAGCATCACACACTGGGGTCTGTTGGGGGGAATAGGGGAGGGACAGCAGGGGGTGGGGAGTTGGGGAGAGATAGCATGGGGAGAAATGCCAGATAGAGGTGAAGGGGAGGAAGGCATCAAATCACACTGCCACGTGTGTACCTATGCAACAATCTTGCATGTTCTTCACATGTACCCCCAAACCTAAAATGCAATATGTATATATATATATATATATATATATATATATATAATCTTAAAATCAGACAAAGGCCCGTGCATAAAGAAGTGCATTTGATGCATCATTTGTAAAAAAAAAGAAGAAAAAGAAAGAAAGAAAAAAAGAATACCTTGGTTAATTAAGTCACTAAATGTAACTAAGTACGCATAATTTATAGTTAGGAAAACAGAATTTAAGCTGTGCATCATGGCACCTTTATAGTCCCAGCTACTTGGGAGGCTGAGACAGGAGGATGGCTTGAGCCCAGGAGTTGAGAACTGTAGTGCACTGTGATTACACCTGTGAATAGCTACTGCACTCTAGCCTGGGTAACATAGCGAGACTCCATCTCTAAAAAAAATAATAAACCATAGAGTTTAAAGTCAGACAGATTTATGGATTTGGAATCTCAGCTTTATACTTCCTGGCTATGTGAGTTTAGACAGGTCACTTAAGATCTCTGGGCCTTACCTTCAACAATTCTCTTATAAGGTTGTCAGAACATTAAAGGTAAACCACATAGCACTTTGTTCTATAAATGGTACTTCTAAAAAGATACATTTTAGAAACATAATATAACTATTGGCAGTCATTGCAAACATTGCTAAAGAGTTTACCTCCATATAAGCCTTGCTTAGAGTAGGAAGGACTCTAGAAGCTAAATCTTTAAACCCGTGAATGATAGAAACTAAGAATGCTCAGTTTATTTAATTGATTTATGTAAACTTTGTTTTAGCTACCAAGAAAGGCATTGGTCTGCCAGGATAGTTTGTAATATTTAAAACAAAAAATTTATCAGGACCATTTCAAGATTCATTCTTAAAACATTATGTCTCTTATGGGGAAAATTGTCTTATTTTATTCTATTAAATGTCTTCATTTCTTAATCAGGAATTGCAAAAATCAAAGTCAGAGCTCATATGCCTTTATAATGAAGTTCACAATCTTCCAGGGACATCAGAAAGCAGATACCATTTTTTAATAGCATGGGACCTATTGCAAAAAGAGAATTCTGAATTAGAAACAAAGGTGAGACTGAGTTAGCTATTTAAATATTCAATATTTAACATAGCTTTTATAAGGATAGGACAAAAGGGAATTAATTTTAAGCAAGAGATGATTTGGGAATTGGAGTTTCTTTTATTATTATAGCAGAAATTGACATATACTGCCGTATACTGTGGTTTATGAGTCAAGGTATAGATCAGGATAAATATTCAGCCTTCAACTAATATTTGGCACTTAGGATTCATCTGTACATTTTTTACTTTAAATCAGCTTCCCACCAACTTAATTTTTGGAGCACACATTATAATGTAAACGATTTATTTAAATGTCTTCAATTAAAAAATTTAGGATCAAAACATTTCTCTATAATGTAAAAGAATTATTTAAATATCTTCAATTTAAAACTTTAGGATCAACACATCATTCTCAGTTACACTGAAAACTGGGCTTAGAATTAGGAAGATGTTCAAATGTCCTGATCCAAGCTTGTCCCCTAAGTTTAAAAATGGCTTACAGGAAGGATTGTTTGTGCCCAGGAGTCAGAGGCTGTAATGTGCTATGATTTGCCTGTAAATAGCAACTGTACCTCAGCCTGGGCAGCATAGTGAGACCCCATCTCTTAAAAAAAAATGGCTGCCTGACCAGGTCAAAGAATTCCCATCTAGTCCAATACTAGATTGAAAGTTTGTCTGTATAATTTCTAGAGTCCCACCTATTAGGTTATCACTGTCTCCTCCTGGCTGAAAATTCCCTTCCTCAATCACTCTTTTGATCTAGACTAAAGATTAAGGAGTCTTGAACACAGCAGTGAAAATATATTAGGCTATATTTTAACACCATATGTAAGGTGAATAACTAAATCAAAGCCTTTTGTGAATGAAAGTACAAAGAATTTCCATATACTTTCACTCTTCCAAATGTTAACATGGTATCATGTTTACCTAATCATTGTTTCTCCATCTACACATACGCACACACACACACACACACACACACTTTTTTTGTAAACCCTTTGAGAGTAAGTTGGAGACATAATCTCCTTTACCCTTAAATATTTCCATGTGGGTTTACTAAAAACTATAACATCTCATATTACCACAGTACAAGTCTCAAAATCAGAAAATTGACATTGACACAATACTATAATCTATAGCCCATATTCAGATTTTACCAATTATTCCCCTCTATAGCAAGATATTAACTTTTTTCCTAGTCTGAGATCTAACCCAGCATCATACATTGCATTTAATTGTCATGTCTCTATAGGTCCTTCAATCCAAAAAAGTTCCTCAGTCTTTGTCTTTGTATTTCATGACTTTGATTGTGTGTGTATATGTATAGTGGATCAATTTTGTGTTTTTATTCAAGTGTTTTATTACATGAAATTTAAGCAAATGCAAAACAACAACAACATGACATATTCAATAGATATGTCATGAAGCCTCAGGAACTACTAATCATGTACCATCCCTGTTTCACCTATAGTTCTCTACTTCAGCCATTTCTGATCAACCCATTGTCTATCTTCCATTATTATACACACACACACACACACACACACACACACACACACAGAGAGAGAGAGAGAGAGAGAGAGAGAGAGTTTTTCTCTGTCTCCAGGCTGGAGTACAGTGATGCAATCTTGGCTCACTGCAACCTTTGTCTCCCGGTTCAGGCAATTCTCTTGTCTCAGCTTCCTGAGTAGCTGGGACTACAGGTGCGCATCACCATGCCTGGCTAATTTTTTTTTTTTTTTTGTATTTTAGTAGAGATGGGGTTTCACCACATTGGCCAGGATAGTCTCGATCTCCTGAGCTCGTGATCTGCCCGCCTAGGCCTCTGAAAGTGCTGGGATTATAAGCATGAGCTACCGCGCCCGGCCCACTTTGATATTTTTGAAGAGTACTGCCTTAATCAGTTTGGGCTGCTATAACATACCATAGACTAGGTAGATTAAACAACAAATATTTATTTCTCTCAGTTCTAGAGGCTGGGAAATCAAAGATTAAGATGTTGGCATGTCTGGCATATCCAGTGTCTGGTGAGGGCATTCTTCGTGATTTGCAGGCAGCTGTCTTCTCATTGTATCTTCACATGGCCAAGAGCAGAGAGAGAAAGAGAGTGCAAGCTCTTTCCCATCTCTTCTCCTAGGGCACTACTACCATCATGAGGGCTGCACCCTTGTGAATTAATTATTTGCTAAAGTGTCCTCCTAATACCATCCCATTGAGGGTAAGGCTTTCAACATATGAGCTCTGAGTCAACACAGACATGCAGTGCATAGCAAGACCACTGATTTTGAAGAATGTCTCTTAATTTGGATTTGTCTGATGTTTCCTCACAATATAATTAAGGTTACCCATTTTTAGCAGAAATACTACAGAGATAATGTTGTATCCTTCTCAGTGTATTTTATCAGGAGACATGACATTTTTTGTTCTATTACTCATGATATTAACTTTGATCATTTGGTTAAGGTATTGTCTGCTAGATTTCTCCACTATAAAGTTATTACTTTCCCCTTCGCACTTCATAAATATCTTGTGGGGAGATACTTTGAGACTACATGTGTTCTATTTCCCATCAAACTTTTACTCATTAAAGTTTCAGTTTTGAATCTTTGATTTTTAGATTGTATTCTAGTTTTCTTCAGAATATAGAGTGCTTTAGATCTAAAGATAGTCTTGCTAAAGGCGTTGTATTGTATGTACTTGCTGAAGCCCCCGTTTTACAGGCTGTCATTTTGTTTGGATCACAACATCTAGACGCATACAGAATTTTAGAGCTGGAAGGAGTATGATCATGTAGGCCACCTCCTTCCGTTTACACATAAGAACACCAAGGCTCAGTGATATTAAACTGCTGCCAAGTTACGTAGTGATTCTCAGCTTATGCTGTTTTTACCCTACCCTAAGGCCTCAATCAGAAAGCAGAACCATCAGCTTAATTCTTATGCTACTTAAACATGGCTGATTATTAAACTGAGCTATATCACTAAGATACAATTTTGATAGGAAGAAATCTGTGGAACAGAGTTGGTCCTGTTCCACAATATCCATGTCATGGAGGGTCTGATGGCTTTAACTTTCTTTGTTTTAAACAGTAAAGCTTCTACCCACTTAAGATATACACTACTTTGTCATGTGAGAATTCGGAATACCTAGAAAATGCTCTGTGTTAGTGTCACCATCCTCTTCAGAAACCCTCAGCAGGTTTCAGTGTGCTATAACATCATAGCTAAACTCCACTGTTTTATCTTTTTCTTCTTTTTTTTTTTTTATGGCAAGAACCACAATTGCCTTTCTTTTTTTTTCTTAAGATGAGGTCTCTCTGTTGCCCAGGCTGGAGTGCAGTGGCAAGATCATACATAGTAGCTCACCACCCACTTGTGGCCTCAAGGCCTCAAGTGATTGTCATGTCTCAGCCTCCCAAGGAGCTGAGATCACAGACACACGCCACCACACCTGGCTAATTTAAAATTTTTCTTTTATAGAGACAGGGTCTCCCTATTTTGCCAGGCTGCCTTTGTTTACTTCTTAAGAGACTAACATTTATTATCTGTAATGTTTACATTTTTACAATGACTATAAAGATTAGTGATTAAGTAGCATTTCGGAATCGTTTTTCCTGCTTACAAAAATAATACAAGCTCATTAAGAAAATTGTTTTTTAGGTTCCTTTATAATCTGACCTCTCTTTTCAATCTTACCTTATTTCTTTTTCTTTTTCTTTTTTTTCTTTGAAACAGAGTCTTGCACTGTCCCCAGGGCTGGAGTGCAATGGTGCTATCTTGACTTACTGCCACCTCCGCCTTCCAGGTTCAAGCGATTCTTCTGCCTCAGCCTCCTGAGTAGCTGGGATTACAGGCACCAGCCATTATGCCCAGCTAATTTTTAGTAGAGACAGGGTGTCACTACATTGGCCAGGCTGGTCTCAAACTTCTGACCTTGTGATCCACCTGCCTCAGCCTTCCAAAGTATTGGGATTACAGGTGTAAGCCACTGCGCCTAGCTTGTTTTTTTTTTTTGAGACAGAGTTTCTGTTGCCCAGGCTGGGATGCAGTGACACAATCTTGGCTCATTGCAATCTTTACCTCAGAAGTTCAAGTGATTCTCATGCCTCAGCCATTTGAGTAGCTGGGGTTATAGGCATGTCCATCACACCTGTCTAATTTTTCTATTGTTAGTAGAGATGGGGTTTCGCCATGTTGGCCAAGCTGGTCTCACACTCCTGCAATCTTGCCTTATTTCTGCAGCTCCTTATTTTGTAGCCTCTATTTCAATGAGATCATCCTCTTTACTTTCCCTCAAATTACTCTATACTCAGTTCTACATCAGTGCCTTTGACCATATTGCTCCCCATACTTAAAATGTGCCATTTGTAGTCTCTTCTCTTATTCGTATCTTCCCAACTTGAAAGGACCAGTTCAAGACCAAACTTTTCCCCTAGAAAGGTTATAGTCCACATGAGATTATACGGATTTTATGAGATTATAATTCATTTTATACACTGTAGTTTCTCTTCAGAGAACTGAAAAGGCATAGAAAACCAAAGGGATCTCTTAAACTTAAATTGTTCTTTATAATTAAGTCCATTGTGTTCTTAGAATCAACCATGTAGAAGCTTTGCATTTTCAGAGAGGCTCAGGATATGAATCAGGCAGGCTATTGTTTACCTTAGCACAATACTTTGATGGGAATCTATTTTCCTTTCTTATTTTTTATTCTATTCTATTTCTTTGTTTATTTGAGTACAGACACGGGGTTTTGCTATGTTGCTTAGGCTGGTCTCAAACTCCTGGCCTCAAGCAATCCTCCCACCTCAGTCTCCTGAAGTGCTAGGATTAAAGGGATGAGCCACTGCGCCTAGCCCATCTTTCTTTCTCAGAATCATTCCCCACCCATCCTTTCTACTCCCAGAAGATGTTTTTTCATTTTATATGAAGATATAGAGTAACCTTTTAGGAAAGGAAATCTTTAGAATGTGTTTGTCAAAGCAAAACAAAAATACTGAACAAATGATTTGCCAGATCACGTAAGGCAGTGACTCTCGAAGCATCTACTTGCAGAATTACCTGGGAGGCTTATTTAAAGGACAGATTTCCATTCCCCCGCCTCCCTAGACCACTGATAATGAATCTCATTATCAGTAGGGGCTATAAGACTGCATTTTCTTTAACAAATATTTTATATTTAATTTTTACTTTTGAGATAGTCTTACTGGTCATCTAGGCTGGAGTGTGGTGGCCTGATTTTGGCTCACAGCAACCTTCACTTCCCAGGTTCAAGTCATCTTTCCATCTCAGCCTCCCAAGTAGCTGGCACTACAGGTGCACACCACCATGCATGGCTAATTTTTTTGTAGAGACAGGGTCTTTTCATGTTGTCCAGTCTGGTCTTGAACTCCTGAACTCAAGAAATCCACCTGCCTCGGCCTCCCAAAGTGCTGGTATTACAGGTGTGAGCCACTGCACCCAGCCAAGACTACATTTTTAATAAATTCTTTAGGTGATGCTTTTATATCATAGTGGTTTCAGAACCACTATGGAAGAAAGTTCTTTTCTGTAAGATATATCTAATATTCTTTCTAATGTTTACTGGCAGCAGGATATGATTGCTTTTTATTATATATTATTGCTTTTATGAATAATGAAGTGCATTCAAAACTTGAAAACAAAAATGTGTGGTAATAGTGTAAAACTTGATAGATCCCATATTTGTGCTTGTTAAAAGGTATAACTAAATGCTAAACAGCACTCTGAGAAGCCAACCCCAGGGACCAAAAATACTTTGAAAAAAAAAAAGGAATTTACATTACCCTTATGCCTATGGTAAAACATCGATTAAGTTACATAACAACTGCAAAGTATTACGTTGGAATAAGACTTCAATTAGGATGTAATTTTATATAACCCAGTAGTTAAGCATTTAATGAAATCAGTATACTTTTTTCACAGCTGTAAATAAAAGTGTGCAAAATAGAATATATGTCTTTTCACTTAATTTAACAGGTCTTGAAGCTTTCATAAGAATTTGCACAATTAAATCATTTTATTCTAGGGGAAAAAACTACAACTGCTAATTTAATTAAAAGTGAAAATATCTGTAAAGATCCTGAGCCTAACGAGCCAATTTTGGAAGCAGAAATTCAAACCCCAAAGGAAGAGAGAGAGGAACTCTGGTAAATTGGGAAAATCATATATCACATTAATTATTTGGAGGGCGTATTTTTTTTTTTTTGGCTTGATCATTATTAAGAATTTGACATTCAGCTGAGTGTAGTGGCTTACGTCTGTAATCCCAGCACTTTGGGAGACTGAGGCGGACAGATCACTTGAGCTCAGTCAGGAGTTTGAGATCAGCCTGGGAACCATAGCAAAACACCGTCTCTACAAAAAACAAAAATTAGCCAGGCCTGGTGGCATGTATCTGTAGTCCCAGCTACTCAGGAGGCTGAGGTGGGAGGATTGCTTGAGCTGGGAGGCAGAGATTGTAGTGAGCCATGATTGTGTCACTGCACTGCAGCCTGGGTAACAGAGCCAGATCCTGTCTCAAAATAATAATAATAATAATTTGATATTCATTTCCAAATTATGTGAGTGGAAAAATTAGTTATAAAGGTTCTCCCAAAATTTTGTCTTTTGATATATTATTACATTTTAAAACTTTTTTCCTGCTTTTAAAAAATGAATATATGTGGCTGGGCACAGTGGCTCACGCCTGTAATCCCAGCACTTTGGGAAGCTGAGGTGGGCGGACCACCTGAGGGTGGGATTTTGAGACTAGCCTGACCAACATGGAGAAACTCCATCTCTACTAAAAATATAAAATTAGCCAGGCGTGTTGGCACAGGCCTGTAATCCCAGCTACTCAGAAGACTGAGGCAGGAGAATCGCTTGAAGGCAGAGGTTGTGGTGAGCCAAGATCAGACCATTGCACTTCAGCCTGGGCAACAAGAGTGAAACTCCATCTCAAAAAAAAAAAAAAAAAGAAGAAGAATATATGCGTTTTTTTTTTAGAAGATTTAGAAAGCATGCAAAAGTATAAAGAGATTATAACAACCCTCAATTCTCACCAGGGAAAGATGTTATCTTAATTTTTCTTCCTTTTTTCTGTATACATACGCATATATGTATATTTTTACATAATTAAGATTACACTCTGCAGAGTTTTTTTTTGCTGTCTTTATTTAACATTGCATTTGATAATTTTTAGAGCACCTTTCTTTTATTTATCTGTCTGTCTATCTATCTTATTAATTTTGCCCTCTAACTCCTGTACTTCTACATTTTAACCAAAAGTACCTTTCACAGAAACATGAGGCTTTGGCAAGTGCACTACTCTGCTTGGGCACAAAAGCTAATAGTTGCAATCAAATTTTGTCTTGGAAAAAGTCTAGAATGAAATAACCAAAAGGAAACAATAGATGTCAATTTTGGCATATACCACACTAAAGGATACATTCATCAGTAAAGTAAGGAAATATAGTCTAGGAGTAGACAAATTTATATCTTTGTAAATGTTCTAAAGATAGAAGGAGATGTTTTGCCAGTTTGGGGTCCCTCTTCAATTTTGCATTTGGCTAGGCATGGTGGCTCATGCCTGTAATTCCAGCACTTTGGGAGGCCAAGGTGGACAGATCACGAGGTCAGGATATTGAGACCATCCTGGCCAACATGATGAAACCCGGTCTCTACTAAAATCCAAAAACTTAGCCGGGTGTGGTGGCGTGCACCTGTAGTCCCAGCTACTCGAGAGGCTGAGGCTGGGGAATTACTTGAACCTGGGAGGCGGAGGTTGCAGTGAGCCGAGATTGTGCCACCACACTCCAGCCTGGCAACAGAGAGAGACTCCATCACAAAAAAAAAAAAAAAAAAAAAAAAAAAAAAAAAAAAAGTTGCTTTTAACTTTAGAGTAAGCTTTGAGCCCAAGATTCACAATTGTGAAACCTAGTTGCAGATGTGGGAGAGTTTCTTGGGAGATGATGGGGAAGGGGTATGATAATGGTCGCAAGAACTAAGAGCCAAGAAGCTAGATCACAGCATTTAGGTTTGTGGTAGGGAAAAAGGAAGTCTAGTTCTTGAGCACTGGAACAGTGTATTACAGGATTTTTGAGGAAGATTGTTCTAGTATCTATATTAGATAAAATGGAGATGGAAGATAGACCAATTAATCTATATATGAGTGATAGATGAAGAGATAGTTGCCTACATTGAGTAAATGGCAATGAAAATGAAATGGTCAATCTGAAATTTCTTCAAGAAGGAACTGACATAAATGACCAAATCTGACAAAAGTCCACCCACGTGATTTGGGTAATTAACAGAGATACTTGCCTTGGGGAGCAAGGATGTGGCTTTAATTCATCTAGGGGTGGGAAATTTTGCCATGAGAAAGATTATGGCCTTCCCTCTTAAGAGCTCTTTGATGCCACCTGTTTCCAAGACTTGGTCCAATCTGCTTCCCATAACTGGGACCCTGAAAAGTCTAGGTATTTCCCATCTGACTCCCCCTTTTTTTTTCTCATAATGTTTTCCAGCTTGTTTATCTCCTATTCCCCTCTTAACAGCCTCCCCTCAGTATAGGTCCATAACACAACCACATTCAGCAAGATATTGTGTATCTACCACGTGCCAGGCACTGTAGGTAGGTACTGAGGATATACAATAAGACACAGTTTCTTATCCTTACGGTCCTCATAGCCTGACGGAGAAAGATGGTTAAACAAGGCAGTACTGGGTACTGTGCAAACACAAAGCAGGGGCCCTGGCCCAGGCTAATGAATCAAAAAATATTCTTTTTATTTATTTATTTATTTCGAGATGGAGTTTCACTCTTGTTGCCCAGGCTGGAGTGCAGTGGTGCAATCTCAGCTCACTGCAACCTCCACCTCCTGGGTTCAAGCAATTCTCCTGCCTCACCCTCCTGAGTAACTGGGATTACAGGTCTGCACCACCACGCCGGCTAATTTGTTTTTTTTTTAGTAGAGATGGGGTTTCTCCACGTTGATCAGGCTGGTCTTGAACTCCTGACCTCAGGTGATCCGCCTGCCTCAGCCTCCCAAAGTGCTGGGATTACAGGTGTGAGCCACTGCGCCCGCCAAAAAATATTCTTAAAGGACGTATGAATAATCAAATTTATCTTATACTGTTCTGCATCATTTATCTTTTAAAAACTGCTAAATTCAAAATAAAATGTTTAATTATTTTCTTTATAGGAATTTTAAAAGGAATAAGACACTCCCTAAACAACAATTTTTCTCCCTGTTCCTTTCCAGCTTTTTCTAGACATTTTTCCATTGTATGTATATATGTATGTACACACATGTATATATATGTGTGTGTGTGTGTATTGGGTTTTGTGCCACACTTTCACTTTGATAAGTATTTTTCTTGTTTATGAATAGTCTTGAATGTCACTTTTAAGTTGAAGCATCTTTAATTCTCTTAGCCATTTCCAGATCTGTATTTATTTAGTATGAGCTTAATTGTACAGTCTTTTTTCATCTTATGAATTATTTTATTGCAATAAATTCATTGATATGCAATTATTCAGAGTCTGAAGATTTTTATGGCACTTTTTTCTTTGAGACAGAGTCTCCCTCTGTCACTCAGGCTGGAGTGCAGTGGTGTGATCTTGGCTCACTGCAACCTCTGCCTCCTGGGTTCAAGCTATTCTCCTGCCTCAGCCTCCCAAGTAGCTGGGACTGGCATGTGCTACCACACCTGGCTAATTTTTGTATTTTTAGTAGAGATAGGGTTTCACCATGTTGGCCAGGCTGGTCTCGAACTCCTGACCTCAGGTGATCCACCCGCCTCAGACTCCAAAAGTCTGGGGGTTACAGAAGTGAGCCACCATGTCCGGGCATGGCTCTTGATCTGTATTGCCAAATTGCTTTCTTAAAGAATCTGAGCACCAACTGTAATCTGTGAAGTGTGCTGTACTAGGTTTCAAGGTACTCAAAACAAAATTTAAGACTGAAGGAATAAAAATAAAACCAGCATATCTGTGTTCATTCTCCTTGTCATCCACACTCTCTGACCATTGAAGGTGCATTCCCTCTTCTTGGTTTCCATGGCTCTTACCTCCTCTGCTTGTTCCTTACAAGTTTTTAGGCTTCTGTTTAAGATGATCCTCCTCCTGTTACTTTCCCCCTTCTCCCTGGTTCCTTTTATCCAACCCCAGTGTTTCTGCTCACATTTTTCTGTGTCTGTATCTTCACCACCAACATCACTGTAGTCAGTCTATAGTCACATTACCCCATGATGGTCTACCATCTGCTTGCCCATTTGACCCAGTCAGAAATTCAGGTGTCATGTGATTCCTTTTTCTCCCTTACCTGCCACATCCAATAAATGACAGACCTTATCAATACTGTCTTTTAAATATCTCCAGAATCCATCACAGTTCAATTCACTGTTATTTATTACAAGGATTATTACAACAGTCTCTCAAATGGTTTCCCTGCCACATGGCATCCAGATAATCTTTCTAAAGCACATTCTCTCTTTTGCTACTGGGGTTTTATACATCTTATTTATTAAAGCATTTTGAAACGTCTTTGTTTGTTCACGTTCTCTTCTCTACCAACACCCACCCTCCCCAAAATCCATACACACATGCAAGTACATACACACTCCTTCCTCCTTTTACATTTGTCTAGCTTGTGCCTACTCATCCATCAGGCCTTGTATTACTTACTACTCATTTCTCACTTAACTGTTAGCTCATTTCTTATCCTCATTCATCACTAAATTGTAAGCTCCTTGGGGCAGAGATCGTGTCCTGTTGAAGCCCTAGTGCCTCCCAAAGTGGCTAGTGCTTATTAAAATCTTTATAACCTGTGTCTGCTCAATGCCATACTAAGTTGAAAAAGTATAAATCTCATTTAAAGTGGTGGTTTGGCTATAAATGAAAACCTATGATGGGTCACCTCCCTGAATGTAAGTTAAAAATATGACTCATTTATGGGTTTTTGTTTTTGTTTTGAGATGGAGTCTCGCTCTGTCACCCAGGCTGGAATTCCGTGGCACGATCTTGGCTCACTACAACCTCCACCTCCCAGGCTCAAGCGATTCTTATGTCTCTGCCTCCTGAGTAGCTGGGACTATAGGCATGCACCACCATGCCTGGCTAATTTTTTTATTTTTGGTAGAGATGGGGTTTCACCATGTTGGCCAGGCTGGTGTCTAGCTCCTGACCTCAGGTGATCTGCCTGCCTCGGCCTCCCAAAGTGCTGGGATTACAGGTGTGAACCATCACACCTGGCCTACTTTTCTGTTTTTAAAGTTTATTTTATTTTTTTAATTTTTTATTGCATTTTAGGTTTGGGGGTACATGTGCAGAACATGCAAGACAGTTGCATAGGTACACACATGGCAGTGTGTTTTGCTTCCTTTCTCCCCTTCACCCACATTTGGCATTTCTCCCCAGGCTATCCCTCCCCACCTCCCCCTCCCACTGGCCCTCCCCATTTCCCCCCAATAGACCCCAGTGTTTAGTACTCTTCTCTCTGTGTCCATGCGTTCCCATTCTTCATCACCCACCTATGAGTGAGAATATGTGGTGTTTCGTTTTCTGTTCTTGTGTCAGTTTGCTGAGGATGATGTTCTCCAGATTCATCCATGTCCCTACAAATGACACAAACTCATCATTTCTGATTGCTGCATAATATTCCATGGTGTATATGTGCCACATTTTTCCAATCCAGTCTATCATCAATGGGCATTTGGGTTGATTCCAAGTCTTTGCTATTGTAAACAGTGCTGCAATGAACATTCGTGTACATGTGTCCTTATAGTAGAACGACTTATAGTCTTTTGGATATATACCCAGTAATGGGATTGCTGGGTCAAATGGAATTTCTATTTCTAAGGCCTTGAGGAATCGCCACACTGTCTTCCACAGTGGTTGAACTAATTTACACTCCCACCAACAGTGTAAAAGTGTTCCTTTTTCTCCACATCCTCTCCAGCATCTGTTGTCTCCAGATTTTTTAATGATCACCATTCTAACTGGCGTGAGATGGTATCTCAATGTGGTTTTGATTTGCATCTCTCTGATGACCAGTGACGATGAGCATTTTTTCGTATGATTGTTGGCCTCATATATGTCTTCTTTCGTAAAGTGTCTGTTCATATCCTTTGCCCACTTTTGAATGGGCTTGTTTGTTTTTTTCCTGTAAATCTTAAAGTTTATTTTTAATAATAAAATGACTGCTGCACTATAGAATTTAGGTTGAAAATATTGTTTGCAATACTGTCTTGACTTATAGCTTTTTTCCTACTACTATAGATTCTACTACTATAATAAGCATTTTGGTAGAGTTTATTTTTATATTTGCACCAAGTCCCAAATTAGGAGAAAGAAAGCAGAAGGAAATTCCAGAGAGTCAGTAAAGGAGGGCACTTTTCCAAAAGAGGGCCAGAAGGAGGAGGGCTCACAACAGAATGGAGATATGAAAGATGAAGAAAAAGAACAGCAGTTGCCCATGAAGCCTGAGGAGGCTGTGAGGCTTAGAGAAGAGCTGAGCCGCATAAATCAGAGCCTCCTTCAGTCTCAGAGCTCTGGGGATAGTTCAGATGACAGTGATGCCCAGGTAGGTGATATAAACACAGGCACTGACTGGGTTCATTTCCTCTGATTGGCTGTGGATATAAGCATCATTTTAAATACCATCATTCTTACATGTGTATTTTTAAAAATTTTTAGGGACATAGTAGGTATATATATTTCTTTTGATACAGGTATGCAATGCATAAGAACCACATCATGGAGGATGGGGCATCTATCTCCTTAAGTATTTATCCTTTGTACTGCAAACAATCCAGTTTCACTCTTTGAGTTATATATATTTGTGAGCAAGAAAATAGCAACTAAAATCTGAACTAAGTCTGTCAGTTGATGTACTTTGTTATAACATGTTCTTAAATGCTATCTAAGCTCAGCAGGAAAATTGCTGATTGTTGATGTCTGCCCTAGCCAGATGGGATTGGGGATGGTAGGATGTGCCACATTTTTCATTTCTAGTATGTAGCTCAGTAGACAAAGTACTTTGTTTTAGTGAGGAAAAGATGACAGACATTTTATTATTTTAATTATGGCTTTTGCTATTTTACTAGGGATCTGTTTGTAGGGGAAATAAAGGGAGTGACTACAGCCACTTCAGTTCTTATACCTGAATTTTGTAGGTTCTGTCTTATACATTTAAGATTTCTCTACATATACGTTTCCAGAAATTATTTTAAGGTCCACAGAAGGGAGGCCTTTGTATTCATAAATAAACTACTGCAGAAGGCTGATAATATATATTTGAAACGTGATTCAAGTACACATTTAGAAAAAGGAAGTGTAACAATAAAGGAAGTCAAAAATATATTTGAAAGGATTCAGATACAGAGTTTCAAAACTAGACAAGTCACAGTAAACTAGGAAAATATATACCTGTAAGGAGATTTAGATACACCTGCGAAAGGAAAAGGAGTCACTCAGTTTGTTCAGAAGACCAAAGAGAAGCATGACATCAAATATTTAAGAAGAGATTACTTTTACAGCTCTAGATAGACATTGCTCAGTGGACACTGGTCAGTGTGGGAGGCTTGAGCAGAAGCTGAACACTGTGGTCACAAAGATGATCAAATATTTTCTTAGCCAGTAGTCTTCACTCTATTACCACTATAGGATTGAACTTGCCATTGGGACAAGTCTATTGGAAAAAGCAGCAAAGGAGAAAGGACTTACAGAGTGCCTATATAAATTGGTTATGAGTAACATAACCAATTCCTCTAAGGAGGAAGGCCTCTCCATGCCTCATGTTCCAGGGCAGGGTGACCTAGGCTCTGTTACCATAAACATTGTGCTCAAGGATGTAAAACCCCTTCGTAGCACTATAATGTAGCCAGACTTGTAGGCTCCATGTAAGGCCCATGTTCCATCAGCTGCACATAGATAATAGGCTAAAGATAACCACAAGTTCTTGTTTTGTGAAACTCCCAAATTTTCACTGTTATCAATCGTTAGGATGACATACCAGTTCTGGCTCACTGATGCACTTCTGGCTAACAAATTCATTCCACCATCACTCCACCCCTACCCTATAGATCAAAGTGATTATAACCAATAAATGGTGTGGGTGATTAGAGTTAGGGGCCTTCACTGTCTCTTCCAAAGTAATACAGTGATAGCACCTGGTCCCACTTTCTCTCTTAATCTGTCTTTTCTCATTCCTTTGTCCACTGAACTTGGGGTACCCATGGGTGATGTAGGGCGGGTTCCCTACATTCTGGCGCCCAATGTGTGGGGCTCATGGATACCTACAACAGTCTATGAAATTCATTTGTACTTTATTTTATTAAAATAATATTTTAAAATATTAAAAGCTGATAAAATTAGGATAGTTAAGGCTAGTTCCAACTTATTTTAATTCTTAAGGAAGCTGAAAAGATGTTAGGCATCATCTGGTCTTGTGTCTTTAATTTACCTATGAATAAATGAAGTTTTTGGTATGTTAAATGGTCCTATAGGCTGTTGATTATGAATTAATTGGCATAATAGATCTGTTGATTGAGGAGAATAAAAAGACCGATGTGTACTTACCTTTCTTTTTTATGTGATTCCCAGTAAACTGATCGAGCGTATATGCTCTGCAGTAACTTTCTACCAGGGTTATATGGTGAGAAAAAAATAGAGACTCTTGTTGGCTGCTTGTCTAGCTATTTCAACAGCTGACTGTGTTGAAAACTAATTTGCATTTCTACTCTGGCAGAGTAGCTGACCTGGAAAATATAGATGGGAAGAACTGTTCTGGTTTTTCCAGCCTTCCAAAGAAGCTAAAACTTTTGGGCCTTTGTCCCCTTGGTAAAAATGGGGTGCATCTCTTGTATATAGTATCTCTGTTTTGGTATGTTAAATGGTCCTGTAGCCTGTTGATTATGAATTAATTGTTAAAAGCTGTTATATAATGGTTAAACAAGAAGGTAGAATGGTGATCAAGGCATTCCAGGTTGTTTTCAGATGGAAAATGAAGGCAGTTAAAGTTAGGAAGCATCAACAGTAATGGGTAACATTATTGAGTGCTTATTAAGTGCCAGAAATTGTGCTAAGTGCTTGCATGTGCTATCTTACTAACTCTTCACCCCATCCAGCCGTAATCATTATTATCCACATCTTAAGATGAGGAAATTGAAGTACAGAAAGATGAAGTAATCTTTCCAGGATCTCCCATTAATAAGTAGTAGAGTCAGGATTGAAACACAGGTGTATCTAATTCCAAAGTGAGAGTTCTTCTACCATTAAGATACTCCATGAGAAGATCTACCCCAAGACACATAATCATCAGATTCTCCAAGGTCAAAATGAAGGAAAAACTGTTGAGAGCAGCCATAGAGAATGGCCAGGTCACCTACAAAGGGCAGCCCATCAGTCTAACAGTGGACCTCTCAGCAGAAACTACAAGCCAGAAGAGATTAGGGGCCAAGATTCAAGATTCTTAAAGAATTTTTAACCCAGAATTTCATATCCAGCAAAACTAAACTTCCTAAGCAAAGGAGAAATAAAATTCTTTCCAAACAAGCAAATGCTGGGGGATTTCATTACCACCAGGCCTGCCCTGCAAGAGCTCCTGAAAGAAGCACTAAATATGGAAAGGAAAAACCGATACCAGCCACTGCAAAAACATACCAAAATATAAAGACCAATGACACTATGAAGAAACTGCATAAACTAGTGTGCAAAATAATCAAATAGCATCATGATGACAGGATCGAATTCACACATAACTATACTAACCTTAAGTGTGAGTGGGCTAAATGCCCCAATTAAAAGACACAGATTGGCAAATTGGATAAGGAGTCAAGACCCATCGGTGTGCTATGTTAGGAGACCCATCTTACGTGCAAAGACACACACAGAGAGTTCTGTAGATGTCTACTAGGTCCATTAGATCCAGAGCAGAGTTAGAAGTCCTGAATATCCTTGTTAATTTTCTGTCTTATTGATCTGTGTAATAATGACAGTGCAGTGTTAAAGTCTCCCACTATTGTGTGGGAGTCTAAGTCTCTTTGTAGGTCTCTAAGAACTTGTTTTATGAATCTGGATGCTCCTGTATTGAGTGCCTATACATTTAGAATCATTAGCTCTTTTTGTTGAATTTTTCTCTTTACCATTACGTAATGCCCTCCTTTGTCTTTTTTGATCTATGTTGATAAATTTCCCTCTTTGCGCACCACCATGCCTGGCTAATTTTTTGTATTTTTAGTAGAGATGGGGTATCGCTATGCTGTCCAGGCTGGTCTTGAACTCCTGTCCTCATGATCTGCCCACCTTGGCCTCCAAAATTGCTGGAATTACAGGCGTGAGCCACCGTGCCCGTTGGGAACTGGTTTTTTGAAAAAATTAACAAAACAGATAGACCAATAGCTAGAATAATAAAAAGAAAGGAGGAAAGAATCAAAAAGACACAATAAAAATCATAAGGGGATATCACCACTGATCCCACAGAAATACAAACTACCATCAGAGAATACTATAAACATCTCTATAGAAATAAACTAGAAAATCTAGAAGAAATGGATAAATTCTTGGACTCATACACCCTGCCAAGACTAAACCAGGAATAAGTTGAATCCCTGAATAGACTGATAAAAAGTTCTGAAATTGAGGCAGTAACTAAAAGCCTACCAACTAAAAAAAGCACAGGACCAGAAGGATTCACAGCTGAATTCTACCAGAAATACAAAGAGGAGCTAGTACCAATCCTTCTGAAACTATTCCAAACAATTGAAAAGGAGGGACTCCTCCCTAACTTGTTTTATAAAGCCAGCATCATCCTGTTACTAAAACTGGGAAGAGACACAACAAAAAAAGAAAACTTCAGGTCAATATCCCTGATGAACATCGATGCAAAAATTCTCAAGAAAATACTGGCAAACTGAATCCACAGCACATCAAAAAACTCATCCACCATGATCAAGGCAGCTTCATTCCTGGAATGCAGGGCTGATTCAACATATGGAAATCAATAAACATAATCCATCACATTAATAGAATCAAAGACAAAAACCACATGATTCTCTCAATAGATGCAGAAAAGGCCTTTGATAAAATTCAGCATCCCTTCATGTTAAAAACTCTCAATAACCTAGGTACTAATGGGGCATATCTCAAAATAATAAGAGCTATTTATGACAAACCCACAGCCAATATCATATTGAATGAGCAAAAGCTGGAAGCATTCCCTTTGAAAACTCATACAAGACAAGGATGCCCTCTCTTACCACTCTTATTCAGTGTAGTATTGGAAGTTCTGGCACTCAGGCAAGTTGTCTCTGAGATGACATGATTTTATATTTAGAAAACCCCATCATCTCAGCCCAAAAACTTAACTGATAAGTAACTTCACCAAAGTCTCAGGATACAAAATCAATGTGCAAAAATCGCAAGCATTCCTTTACACCAACAATAGGCAAGCAGAGAGACAAATCATGAATGAACTCCCATTCACAATCACTACAAAGAGAATACCCAGGAATACGGCTAACAAGGGATGTGAAAGGAGAACCACAAACCACTGCTCAAGGAAATAAGAGAGAACACAAACAAATGGAAAAACATTCCATCCTCATGGATAGGAAGAATCAGTATTATGAAAATGTCTATATTGCCCAAAGTAATACAGATTCAGTGCTATTCCCATCAAACTACCATTGACATTCTTCACAGAATTAGAAAAAAAAAAAACTATTTAAAATTTCATATGGAATAAAAGCCATATAGCCAAGACATTCCTAAGCAAAAAGAACAAAGCTGGAGGCATTATGCTGACTTCAAACTATAATGCAAGGCCACAGTAACCAAAACAGCATGGTACTGGTACCAAAACAAACATATAGACCAGTGGAGCAGAACAGACACCTTAGAAATAACACGACACACCTACAACCATCTGATCTTTGACAAACCTGACAAAAAGAAGCAATGGGGAAAGGATCTCCTACTCAGTAAATGGTGCTAGAAAACTGGCTAGCCATATGCAGAAAACTGAAACTGGATCCCTTCCCTTAAACAAAAATTAACCCAAGATGGATTAAAGCCTTAAATATAAAACTCAAAACCATAATAACCCTAGAAGAAAATCTAGGCAGTACCATTCAGGACATAGGCATGGGCAAAGACTTCATGACAAAAATGCTGAAAGCAATTGTGACAAAAGCCAAAATTGACAAATGAGATCTAATTAAACTAAACAGCTTCTGCACTGCAAAAGAAACTATCACCAGAGTGAACAGACAACCTGCAGAATGGGAGAAAATTTTTGCAATCTACCCATCTGACAAAGGTCTAATATCTAGAATTTAAGGAACTTAAACATATTTATGAGAAAAAAACAACCCCATCAAAAAGTGGGCAAAGGATATGAACAGACACTTCTTAAAAGAAGACATTTACTTGGCCAACAAACATACGAAAAAAAAGCCCAACACCACTGACCATCTGAGAAATGCAAATCAAAACCACAATGAGATACCATTTCACACTATTCAGAATGGCAATTATTAAAAAGTTAGGAAACAATAGATGCTGGTGAGGCTGTGGAGAAATAGGAACACTTTTATACTGTTGGTGGGAATGTAAATTAGTTCAACCACTGTGGAAGACAGCATGGTGATTCCTCAAGGATCTAGAACCAGCAATACAATTTGACCCAGTAATCCCATTACTGGGTATATACCCAAGAAATATAAATCCTTCTACTGTAAAGACACATGCACATGTTTATTGCAGCACTATTTATAATATGTTTATTGCAGCAGTATTTACAATAGCCAAGACATGGAACCAACCCAAATGTCCATCAATTGTAGACTGGATAAAGAAAATGTGGTACATATACACCATGGAATGCTATGCAGCCACAATAAGGAATGAGATCATGTCCTTTGCAGGGACATGGATAAAGCTGGAAGCCATCATCCTCAGCCAACTAATACAACAACGGAAAACCAAACACTGCATGTTACCTAACTCGTAAGTGGGAGTTGAACATTGAGAACACATGGATACAGAGAGGGGAATAACACACACCAGGGCCTGTGGAGTGTGGGAGGCTCGGGGAGGGAACTTAGAGGATGAATCGATAGGTACAGCAAACCACCATGGCACACATATACCTTTGTAACAAACCTGCACATTCTGCACATGTATAATGCTTTTTTTAGAAGAAATTTTTTAAAAGTGAGGCTTCTTCATAATTACATTATACTCCATTGAAGATTTTTTCTAGGGATCTTAGAGTCTTGCAGCTCTAAGAAAAGCAGATTGTATTTAGATTGCCTTTTTAGCTAAACCAAAATAGGAATTGAAGAGCCAACAGGATTTGAGGGCTTCTGTATTGCTTTAGGGATATAAGCAAGCTAAAACTAAAATAATGACTTGGGATTTTTAGAAAGTTGTAGACAGGAAGGATACCGGACCAGGACTAAGGAAACGCTAAGAATATCTTATCTATTGAATTGTATAAAATTGAATTGTTTATCTATTCAGCATACCTACTTATGCCTACCTTTTGTAGAATATCCAAATGATGGTTCTCTTATTTCACTGGAGAAGCCTGATAGGAAAGTGTATTGCTGGTGTTTGATACATGTGCTTTATTTTTTATAGCTTTATTCAGGACTTTTTTTTTTTTTTTTTTTTTGAGACAGAGTCTCTCTCTGTCACTCAGGCTGGAATGCAATGGTTTGATCTTGGCTCACTGCAACCTCCACCTCCCAGGTTCAAGCGATTCTCATGTCAGCCTCCCAAGTAGCTGGGACTACAGGTGCACACCACCACACCTGGCTAATTTTTGTACTATTAGTAGAGATGGGATTGCACCATGTTGTCCATGCTGGTCTCGAATTCCTGACCTCAGGTCATCCACCCACCTAAGCCTCCCAAAGTGCTGGGATTACAGGCGTGGGCTACCATGCCCAGTCTATTCAGGATTATTGACAAATATCGTATATATGTGGTGTACAACCTGATGTTTTGATATATATGTATACATGGTGAAATGATTAAATCAAGCTAATTTACATATCTATCTCACATACTTTTTGTGGTGAGAACTTTTAAGATCCACTCCTTTTAGCAATTTTCAAGTATACAACACATTGTTAATAAGTATAGTCACCATGGTATGCAATACATCTCCAGAATTTATCCTGCCTATCAGAAGCTTTGCACCCTTTGACCAACATCTTCCCATTCCATGCTTCCCCTCCGCAGTCTCTGACAACCACCATTCTACTTGCTGCTTCTATGAGTTCAACTTTACAAGTTCAACTTTTTTAGAGTCCACATATAAGTGAGATCATACAGTATTTGTCTTTCTGTGCCTGCCTTATTTCACTTAGCATAATGCCCTTCAAGTTCATTCATGTCGTGACAAATGAAAGGATTTCTCTCTTTTCCTTTCTTTCCTTCTTTCTTTCTTTTTTTTTTGAGACAGTTTCGCTCTGTTGCCCAGGCTGGAGTGTAGTGGTGCAATCTTGGCTCACTGCAACTTCCGCCTCCTGGGTTCTTGCAGTTCTCTCCCTCAGCCTTTCAAGTAGCTGGGACTATAGGTGCACGCCGCCATGCCCAGCTAATTTTTTGTATTTTCGTAGAGATGGGGTTTCACCATGTTGCGCAGGCTGGTCTCTAACTCCTGAGCTCAGGCAAGCCACCTGCCTTGGCCTCCCAAAGTGCTGGGATTACAGGCATGAGCCACCATAGGATTTCTCTTTTCAAAGGCTGAACAGTATTACATTGTATATGTGTGTGTGTGTGTGTATACCATGTTTTCTTTTCCGTTCATCCATTGATTGACACGGAAAATATTTCACATTTTTCTTGACAAAGATTTTTTGGATGTGACTCTAAAAGCAAAATCGACAAATGGGGTTGTGTCAAGTTAAAAAGCTTCTGTACAGCAAAGGAAACAACAGAGTAAAGAGACAACCTACAGAATGGGCAAAAATATTTGTAGATCATACATCTGAAAAGGGTAATATCCAAAATATATAAGGAACTCAAAAAACTCAAGAGCAAGAAAAAAAATAATCCAATTAAAAAATAGGCAAAGGATGCAAATAGACATTTCTCAAAAGAAGGCATACAAAAGGCCAACAGGTATGTAAAAAACGTTCAACGTCATGAATTATTAGGGAAACGCAAACTAAAACCACAATGAGATACCACTAAACACCTATTAGAATGGCTTTTATCAAAAAGACAAAAGATAAGTATTGGCAAGGATGTGGAGAAAACAGAACACTTCAACACTGTGGGTATGAATGTAAATTAGTACAGCCAATATGGAAAACCATATGGAGATGCCTCAAAAAATTAAAAATAGAGCTATTTATATGATCCAGCAATTCCACTTCCAGGTATATATCCAAGGGATTTGAAACCAGTATGTCAGAGATATCTGCAGAAGTTTTGTGTGTGTGTGTGTGTGGGTGTGTGCGCATGTGTACAAAATGCAATACTATACTATTCTGCCTTAAAAGAGTGTGTTTTATGGGAGTGTGTTTATGGGAGAAGAATCATAGGGTAATAAAAGGAAACTGATGAGGAAGGCTGGAAACTTAGGTCTCTTACTAAGTTTCCTCTTTCTTTTTTTTCCCAACAGACACCACACACAAGCGCACACTCTCTCTCTCACCCTACTTCTTAACATATAGACTCTTTGAACTTCCCATTTTAAATGTGTTTTACTCTAAAATTGTCTGTGCTTCTATCATTGATATGAAAAATAAGGTTAGTTTTCTGTGCCTAACTGCTTTGTTCACATAATTTTCTTGTTATTTTTACTCTAATATAACAGGTATTATATGAACATGTACCAACTATCCATAAATATAAGAGAGTAGTTTGTTGTAGATAAGCTAACTCCAAAAACATTTACATGTGAGTAATCACATTCTACAGTTCTGGTTTTGACAGCTTGAACCCATGTTTTACCAGTATTCCTTCTAATTGTCCATGTTTCTCTTTTTAAATGTTTGCTTTAGCATCCATCATCTGGAGAAAAACTAAAATACAACCAGCAAGAGGAAGTACAGCAACTTCGCCAGAATTTGCACCGGCTCCAGGTTCTATGCAACTCAGCTGAAAATGAGCTTCGATATGAACGAGGGAAGAACTTGGACTTAAAGCAACATAATAGCTTACTTCAGGAAGAAAACATCAAGGTAACTCTTGTGGGCACATCCTTTATGGAAGGGTTTCAGTTGGCCCTGGGAAGAAACGAATCTAAATTCCTCTACTTGATAATTCATGATAGGATCTATAAATGTGCAGACAATGTGAGCTGTCTGATAACTTCCTCCTTTAACTTTTCCCTGCTAAGTAAGGATGTGTATGTTATCAACCTGTAAATAGAAAAAGGCATTAAATTACATAATCTTCTGACAACATCATCTAAAATTTTTAGTACTTACTAAACTTCAGTGACCTGAGCCTAAACCTTAGCTGTCCTGCCCTGTGTATCATTAGACTTATTTGTCCCTATTAGATGTATCCTTTATTATTGGTTCAGGCAAATCTCAATTGCATCAAGGTACAATTCATGGAAGAGCAAAGTTGTTCTTCCTAATACAACAGCATGAAATAGTTAAGGCAACATCTCCCAAATGTTTTTTTTAAAATAACATGTAGAACTGCCATACACAGATTCATCTAAAGTTTATGAACCATATAAATGTTTAAAATTAACCTCCATGTTAAACAGTACTTACTTTTAATTATGGCTTAGTTCTGTAAATATATATTAAGGTCTTAGTTTCTGTAAGCCTCTATTGAAGGTTCTGAAATTCAATAATCAATAAATATTCATGTGCAATTTTGTAGACACTGAGAGTTTAATGTAGGCACAATAAACATAATCCTTATCCCCATGCTGCAGGGGTGAGCAAACTTTGGCCTGTAGGTTGCCTTCTGTTTTATAAATAAAATTTTATTGGCAGCCAGATCTGTCTGTTTACATATTATGGCTGCTTTTGTGCTACAGTAAGAGATTTGATAGTTGTGATTAATCCATATGACCCACAAAGTCTAAAATATTTACTACCTGGCCCTTTATGAGAAAAGTTTGCCCGCTCCTGGCCTAGCGGGTTAAAATAATCTTATTTGAAAAGTGACATAAACATGGATAAGAAAGGTCCCTACTTTTCAAGAGCTCGCAGTCTAGCAGGAAAGATATAGAGGAAAACTATTTGTTTATCCCAAACTTCAAGGAAGCCCTTCTAGGGAGTTCTAGTATTTCGGGATTATTTGAATAAAACTCTTCCCTATCCTCACCCTTCATGAGTTTTTGAAGACTGATCATATTCCTTCAAGTCTTTGTAGTTTTAAATTAAATTCTAAATCTTTATCACATGTTCCCATAAGACAGCCGTTCAAGGACATTTCTTAGATCATTTTAACTTTCTAACTCTGAACATGTAACAATACTACATATTTCTTAAGGAACAATGGCCAGAACTATACAGGTTATAATGCCTTACATATGATTGGTACCCCATAAATATTTATTGGATTAATGAATTTCAGGGATGGATAAATGATAGCTTGGTAACAAGAGAAGATTTTTATTTTGCACAGTTTGTAAAGAGCATGCAGTACATTTTTTTAAAAAAAGAGAAGTTTTTTTTTTGTCTATTTTAAATCTCCATGGTGAGATAAATTATTGGCCATTTAGGAATGAGACATCAGCCTCTTGGTTAGCTCCTTAGGCCAGGCATCTAAGAAAGTTATATACAATAAGTATCCTTTACTGAGAGTTTGTTCACTTTATCTCTTTTTGTTTGTTTGTTTCTGAGACAGAGTCTCACTATGATGCCCAAGCTGGAGTGCGGTGGTGTGATCTCTGCTCACTACAACCTCTGCCTCCCAGGTTCAAGATATTCTCCTGACTCAGCCTCCTGAGTTGCTGGGATTACAGGTGCACACCACCACAGCCAGCTAATTTTTGTATTTTTATATTTTTAGTAGAGGCAGAGTTTTACCATGTTGGCCAGGCTGGTCTTGAGCTCCTGACCTCAGGCGATCCTCCTGGGTTAGTCTCCCAAAATGCTGGGATTACAGGTGTAAGCCACCAGGCCCAGCCTGTCCACTTTATCTCTTATGAACATCCTCACAACCCTATATATAGTTCAGCACTTTTTGGATGAGGAAACTGTTCAAGATTGCAAAGCTAGCAAATTGTAGAGTCAGAATTTAAACTTAAGTCTTTTTCTCTCTTTCCTGTGTAGACATCTTTCCATATTATACCTCTCCTGAATTTGGGTCATTTTGGAACCTCAGCTTTACAAACTTAGTGCTCACTTTAAAAAATCCACTCAAAGCTGGGATTACAGGCTGACACCTGTAATCCTAGCACTTTGGGGGGCCAAGGTGAGCAGATCGCTTGAGCTCAGGAGTTCAAGACTAGCCTGGCCAACATGGTGAGACCCCATTTCTACTAAAAATACAAAACAAAAAGTTATCTGGATGTGGTGACACACACCTGTAGTCCCAGCTACTCGGGAGGCTGAAGCATGAGAATCACTTGAACCCGGGAGGCAGAGGTTGCAGTGAGCTGTGATCAGGCCATTGCAATAAAGCTGGGGTGACAGAGTGAGACTCTGTCTCAAAAAAAAAAATCCATTCAAAATATCAAACTTGAGTCTCTAATGTTAGGCATGCTTATGAGACTGATTAAGAAACCAAAATACATGCTCGCTTCAGTGGCACATATATTAAAACTGGAACAATACAGAGAAGATTGGCACGGCCCCTGCCCAAGGATGACACACAAACTCATGAAGCATTCCATATTTTTTAAACGAAAGAGCTTCTGCACAGCAGAAGAAACTATCATCAGAGTGAACAGGCAACCTACAGAATGGCAGATCATTTTTATAATCTATCTATCTGACAAGGGGCTAATATTCAGAATCTACAAGAACTTAAACAAATTTACAAGACAAAAACAACCCCATCAAAAAGTGGGCAAAGGCTATGAACAGACATCTCTCGAAAGAAGACATTTATGCAGCCAGCAAACATGAAAAAAAGCTCATCATCACTGGTCACTAGAGAAATGCAAATCAAAACCACAACAAGATACCATTTCATGCCAGTTAGAATGACGATCATTAAAACATCAGTGGCTCACACCTATAATCCCAGTCCTTTGGGAGGCTGAGGTGGGCAGATCATCTGAGGTCAGGAGTTCGAGACCAGCCAGTTTGAGACCAATATGGAGAAACACTGTCTCTACTAAAAATACAAAAAATTAGCTGAGCATGGTGGTGCATGCTTGTAATCCCAGCTACTCAGGAGGCTGAGGCAAGAGAATCACTTGAACCTGGGAGGCAGAAGTTGCAGTGAGCCAAGATCGCACCATTGCACTCCAGCCTGGGCAACAAGAGTGAAACTCCAACCTGGGCAACAAGAATGAAACTCTGTCTCAAAAAAAAAAAAAAAAAAAAAAGTCAGGGAACAACAGATGCTTGCAAGGATGTGGAGAAATAGGAACGCTTTTACACTGTTGGTGGGAGTGTAAATTAGTTCAACCATTGTGCAAGACAGTGTGGTGATTCCTCAGGGATCCAGAACCAGAAACACCATTTGACCCAGCAATCCCATTATAGGATATATACCCAAAGGATTATAAATCATTCTACTATAAAGACACATGTGCATGTCTGTTTATTGCAGTACTATTCACAATAGCAAAGACTTGGAACCAACTCAAATGCTCATCAATGATAGACTGGATAAAGAAAATATGGCACATATACACCATGGAATACTATACAGCCACAAAAAGGATGAGTTTATGTCTTTTGCAGGGACATGGATGAAGCTGGAAACCATTATTCTCAGCAAACTAATACAGAAACAGAAAACCAAACACTGTGTGTTCTCACTTGTAAGTGGAAGTTAAACACATGGATACAAGGAGGGGAACATCACACACTGGGGCCTGCCGGGGGTGGGGGACAAAGGGAGAAATACCTAATATAGATAAAGGGTTGATGGGTGCAGCAAACCAACATGGCACATGTATGCCTATATAACAAACCTGCATGTTCTGCACGTTTATCCCAGAACTTAAAGTATAATTTAAAAATAAGAAAAATAAATAAAAATATTGACTGGGTGCAGTGGTTCAAGCCTACAATCGTAGTGCTTTGGGAGGCCAAGGCAGGAGGATTGCTTGAGCCCAAGGGTTTGAAGCTGCAGAGAGCTATGATCACACCACTGCACTCCAGCCTGGCTAACAGAGTGAAACTGAGTCTCAAAAAAAAAAAAAAAAAATTAAAATTAAATAAATAAATATTACTTTTTCTTTTCTTTTCTTTCTTTTTTTTTTTTTGAGACAGAGTCTTGCTTTGTCACCAGGCTGGAGTGCAGTGGCACGATCTTGGCTCACTGCAACCTCTGCCTCCCAGGTTCAAGTGATTCCCCTGCTTCAGCCTCCCAAGTAACTGGGCCAAGTAACTGGGACTACAGGCATGTGCCACCACGCCCAGCTAGTTTTTTGTTTTAGTAGAGACAGGGTTTCACCTTGTTGGTCAGGACGGTCTCGATCTTCTGACCTGGTGATCTGCCCGCGTCGGCCTCCCAAAGTGCTGGGATTACAGGCATGAGCCACCGTGCCCAACCTACTTTTTAAAAAAGAAACCAAAATGCTAATTTATTGCTTTTAAACCATTTCATTGTGAAATATAACACTTAGAAAGTACATAAAACATACAGTTTACCTAGTTGTCATAAAATAAATAGAAATCTAAACACTACTCAGGACAAGAAATAGAACAATGCCAGCACACTAGTGGCTCCTGCATACCTTGTTCCCATCCTAATCCCATCACCTTCCACCCCAGTAGTAACCACTAATTTTGGTAATAATTTTCTTGCTTTACTTTATAGTTTTATCAACTGTTTATGAATCTTACACAATATAGTTGCTTTCCCTATTTTTCATATTTCAAAAATATAAACAGTATGTATACCTTGTGTCTGACTTAATGATAACTCTGTCTGCAAGATTCATCCATGTTGTAGTGTATAGCCATTGCTCATTCATTTTCTTTGCAGTGTAATATTCTACTGTAAGAAAATACCATACTTTATTTATTTTTTATATGGCTTATGGACATTTTACATGTTAAAAAGAATGTTGCAGGCTTGCAGAGCTTCA